CCCCATACCATCCACAAACGAATGGCCTAACGGAGAGAAACAACCGTACACTGAAAGAGTGGCTGGCTTCGAAGGGCGGGAACTGGGAAACGGAGCTTCCACTGATTTTACTAACACATCGGGCTACCACTCAGGAAACAACGAAGAAGTCACCCTTCCAACTGATGTATGGCAGAAAACCACGATTACCGGTACACAATGAGACCTGGCCCATGCACCAAAAGTGGAGTACGACGAAATTAAAAGCAGAGAGGAAAGAGGCAGTCAAGAATGTAATACGGAAGCAGCGCAGTGATGTCACGAAGTCTCAGATGAAAGAAAGGACGCAGTGCATTACTTTTGCAGTCGGGGACCAAGTGAAGTGTAGAGACAGGAGATATACAGTTGGAGGCGGGCTAGGTTCACGGAAACTCCTTCCAAAGTGGGAAGGACCATACACAATCACAAAAAGACGGGGTCAAGTATATACCATCCGAAGAGGTGATAAACAGAAACGAGTTAACGCCAGTCAGCTACAAAGATGGGTACAGTGGGACAAGCCGGTCAGTAACAATCCTCAACTAGAGGATGTAGCACCCAGAAGGTCGGAACGTCTGCGCACAAAGCTATTTGACGGGGGGACGAGTGTGGTGAGAGCAGGCTGCTAGCCGATTGGTTGGCACTAATCTACGTTAATGTCTAGGTCACTAATATTGACCGTGAACAAGGCTGTTTCAACAACCAATCACAGCAAACCTAAATGTGGACAAATATGATTCGCAGATAGATGGCTCTACTTTCCGAGAAATATCGAACACAACCAATCATAAGACTGTGTTTGTCTGCTTAACTTCCGAGAAACAACCAATCAGAAGACTGCCTTTTTCTGCTTGCATAAGCCTTATTAATGCATATAAAATATATATAAATACGTGTTGATTTTCGTAATAAAACGATCTGTTGCCAGCCCTTGTCTTCTGTTGTTACAATAGTGCTGTAGCTGAGCTATTATCTAGATTTGTTATCCGATTCAAGTCTAACTAGCCTAGATCTTGTTCGGGCCTTGTGTCCTACTAATCTAATTGATCCCCTCCTAATATCTTGGCCTATATGTCTGACCGCAGGATAATTGCAGTGTATTACATAAACCAGATTATCTTGTTTAACTATTTCCTCTGTTTTAAAGTATTGTTTTTATAGGGATATTTTGTGTTTGATTGCATGGAGTATTTCATCATGAGCTGACATCAGTTAGAGAACCACTGGAAAACCTGGGTCCCATTGGATCAGGTCCCAGTGGCTCAAAGGTCTATGAGCTCGCCTTGTAACCAGAAGGTCCTGGATTTGAACCCCCGCGCGTACGTGCTGCTGAAGAGTCCCAAACTAGGGTGAAACAGCTGTCCAGTACTCTCAGGTTTTCCAATGGTTCTCTAACCAATGTCAGCTCATGATGAAATCCTCTATGAAATAATTCCACTGTGTTGTAATAGAGCATTAGTGTTTTGTTGATTGTTATTGTTTTACTTGACCCCTAGAATGAGTCTCCGGTCACGACACTGTAGCCAACTGATAACCCGGAAGTATTCCGCCACACTGAGAGGTAGACACATAAGTCGGATTTGACTGAGACGACAACTGCGATAACAACAACTTTATTATCAGAAATATCCATTTCCCGATACGAGTTTTGAAACAAGCAACAAAAGTTGATAATAAAGGGGAAAGTTAATGGATCCATCGAATTTCGGTAGAACTACTTTTCAGCTGGATACTCTGCGTACAGGAATATAAAATTAAGATAAAATGCATTACATGGATAATCCCCATTCAGGCATTAATAAAAAAAAACACATAGATCTGTGAAGAGACTTTTTGGCGAATTCATTTTCTCAGCTGTACAATCGCAAATATATACATATGTGTTATTTTGTATGTATGTGTACATTAAGTTTGTCAAACAAAAATACGTACAATTGGTTATGGTTATTTTAACTAAACAGGCGAAGATTGGTAATACAAGTAAAAAAAATTAGGTGTTAATGAAACTAGGATAGTAACAAAGGTGATGAGTTGTCACAAACAGTTGTTAAAAGAAGTTATGTAATAATATGAATAGTTTGATGAGTTAGTTTTACTCAGGATACACATAGGAACAAAGCAGATACTTCATGCATTTATTCCCCTTGATGAATTTGAATAAAACAAGAACAACAACGGTGGTTTGTGCAGAATAATATGGTACCATCATTTATTTTATTAGCTTAACATCAGCTGCTTACAGCCTAAATAAATTATGAGGTTTAACTACAGAAACATTTTAACATACTTGCAAATTTTACATGTTGTCAATTGACAGAAAGTCCCACAATTAGTAAACAGTGCTCAGAAAATTGCGCTTATATAGTTCGTACACAGGCAGTTTAAGTTAAAACAAAATAAATGTATGCATATAATAATATATTGATATGTATCCGTATATATATATATATATATGTGTATGGTGGTCTCTCTTTCTGTTGCTCTCTTAGTCTGTGACCATTTCACTTTGATGAACCTGTCTCCTTTAACAATGTATATTCCCCTTATATTATATATAATATGTGTGTTTGTTGACAGTCTGATCTTGGTGACATGTATCCATATAAATTGTGTGTTTGTTGACATGTCTGCTATATTTTGCTATGTATATATGGATCGATACTCCATTATAATTAGCCAATCATGTTAAGACTGTCTATTAATTTGTTCACTCACTTGTTTGGACATTCATATATATTTTTGCTCGCACACTCTTGTGTGAATTGATTCTCCTTGTGTTTTGGAAAATAGAAGTATCATCGCAAACCTAGTGGTCTTCTGATTTCCGTCTTTCTTGCGTCAGGACTATTAAATTTTCGACCAGTACATAACAATAATTTGGTGACGAGTACATAACATACATATACCATTAATAAACGTTGGCTGACTATTTATGCCCTGTGAATCAGTTCACGAAAATTAACCCATTTATTCAGAAGTAAAAACACAGTTCCTCTTTTTGTTCAGCGAAGAAATTCCTTTTCAACGACTTCATTTTCAAGCCAACTGTACAGTCGTATTTATATTACAGAAAAAAGGTTATTAAGTGGTACTAAATAAATGCTCAGCCTATATACATATACATGTGATAAGAATAACGATAATTAAAATGTTATAAGGGATAAAGTTGAAGTGGATGAATTACAAAATTATTAATCACTGTTTTATAAGTGAACTGATACAAAACATATTTTTTTAATGTCGTCAAGCGTTCATTATAAATTATTTAAGTTAATCCCAGCGTGTTAAGAAAATCAAAACAAGATTTTTCTGAACGTTTCGCCGTGTAAGCCACAGCTTCTTCAGCAGACTTTTTATTCGGATTATAATTAATCATCAAAATATATAGTCAAAATTTTTTACATAAAATGAAGTCAGTTTATTTGAAGGTCATTTCTCTATGAACATTTTTTACCAATAGAAGTATGTAAGCTGTCCTCACATATATTTGTAAAAAATTTTGACTATATATTTTGATGATTAATTATAATCCGAATAAAAAATCTGCTGAAGAAGCTGTGGCTTACACGGCGAAACGTTCAGAAAAATCTTGTTTTGATTTTCTTATCACGCTGGGATTAACTTAAATAATTTATAATGAATCAATCTGACTCGGCGCTCAAATTATTCCAGGAAATTCGTAACACCTACGGTCTGGAAACTTATAATCGTCAAGCGTTGTCTAAAAATTTTAAAAATTAAGAGTACGATTACGATAAGAATGAAGATGTGAAGTGATCGTAATCGTACTCTTAATTTTTTTTTAATTTTTAGACAACACTTGACATTTTTCTTTAAAAAAATATTTTTGATATCAGTCCGCTTATAAAACAATCTTTAATATTGTTGTAATTTATCCAATTCAACTCTACCCCTTATAACTTTTATCACATATATACGTACATTGACTGAGCAATTATTGAGTGCCACTTAATAACCTTTTTTCTGTAATATAAATACGACTGTACAGTTGCTTGAAAATGAAGTCGTTGAATTGGAATTTCTTCGCTGAACAAAAATACCCTGTTTTTACTTCTGAATAAATGGGTATGTTTTGTGAACTGATTAACAGGCCGTAAGTAGTCAGCCAACGGTTATTAATTGGCAGCCAATGAGGGCTTATCAAGAGATATTCATGCGTAAAATTGTGTAATTTTCCTTTCATATTATAATATGGTATGTTTACCCTCCTTTACACCCGGTTCTTCCTATTTGCCTAAATGCTTTTTATCAGTTGGAAATTAAAGTGTGAGGGAGGGGGGAAACATATTCATGGTATCCTATTTTTCACAAATTAATCCTTGTATTTAATTGAATTTTAGATTTTCCCGTCGACTGATTGGACCGAAGTGCTCGATCTCAGGTTGACCAGATGCTTCGACGATGTCGTGGCCTAGTGGTGGTCTAGTGGATAACGCTTTGGCGTTTGAAACTATGGGCACTGCGTTCGAGCCTCGGTGGTGGGAACATTATCGGTCACTGAGAAATGCAGATACATCCAGATGACGCGTCCCAAATAGGACGAAATGCGCATCCTGTTGGATTCCACCATCCACCAAATTAATACTTATCCTTGTATATATTTTATGACACCATAATGTTTCTCCTCTGTGTGCTCCTATTTTAATTACGTAAACAGCAGTTGGAATCAAGTGAATTCGTATCCTAAATCAATTTGGCTATGCTGCTTGAATTAATTTTCGATTTACTCCGCTGATATGAGCTCGTCTCCCAGGGAGAGAGCGAAATGACCATTTGGCTTTTATATCACTTTTAATTTGGCTAGCAAACCACTGTTGGGTTGATATGAGTGTTAGTATCCAACTACTTTTATCAGCCAATTAGTAGTAGTAGTAGTAGTATGTGTAGCACCTTGAATTTGTGTCTTGTTGTGCTTCATCATTAACGTTTTTTTGTAATGGCAATTTTTTGGCTATTGACAGGAGCTGATTTTGGTGCATTGGCAACTCGCATAGGATGTGATAGAGAATCTGTTCGTGTATGGTTTTGCAATAGACGTCAATTCGACCAACAGTGTTCTAAGAAAGGATAATTCCACTAATACACACCTCTGGTGGCACATGTACAAAAATTACCAGTAATGTAGTGAGACTGTGTAGAAGACAAAGACTCGGTAAAGAAGAAATGTTAATTTGGAAATTGGTATCTCCTGTATAGCCAGCCAAATTATATGTCATACCCCGTATCTTCAACACACCATTTGCACAGATCTTCGAGTTGTGGTACTTCTGGGCTTCATGTTGTGTGTGTTCCTTTCACTTTCTCCCATGTATCTCTACAACGCTGTATCATCTGACTTCTTGTAAACCTCCCTGTTATTTTGTGTTATTATTCCGATGAACATCTGCTTGTATACTACTGATGTCATTTGTCAGTAGTACTCACCGCAGTATGTTATTGATTTTCTTTTTGTATGTCTTACTCTTCAATCTTTTTCTATTTCACTTGGAGAAATATATGCGCTGGCGTCATTACTTCTTGTATCCGCTCCCTTTTGTTTTCTCTATTTCCTTCAGATGCGATGAAATGTACTCAAAGCAAATGTTTGTCATGTTGTATATAATGAAATTTAGTTGCAAGTGCCTTTTGTCTTTCTATTTTCAATATGTAATAAAATTTTTACCTGAAATAGTTTGGATTATTAGGTCTCGAGTGCTGAAGAGTCCCAAACTAGGACGAAAGTGTAAAGTGGCATAATAAGGTGAGCAACATGGAGGTTAGGCGTAGAGTTCTAGGTAAACAGGGGAAATCAATCGACGAAGTCGTGAAGCTACATCGACTGAGATGGTTAGGACATGTGTTACGTATGCCAAGTCATCGCCTCCCTCGACGAGCTATGTTAGCGGATATAGGGTCAGGCTGGAAAAAAGCTAGCGGCGGTCAAACAAAAACTTGGCACCAGTCAATGAAATCCACAACAGTTGGTCAAAGCCACGTAGGAAGGTGTAGACTTCCAGGCTGGGGTCCTCGGGACGGTAAAAATCTATGGTTGGAAACAATTGGTGACATGGCTCAAAACCGTTCTCAGTGACAGCGCAGATGCATCCACTCCTTGTGACTTATGATCTTCAATGAAACTGTTTTGTATTTATTTATTACTCCTTTGTCTCACACCTCTGCTTACTGTCTCTATTATGCTTTTCTTGTACTTTCTTCTCTTGCTTCGCGTGCTAAACGGAATGTGGCGACTTGAACTTCCGCACATTTGTGCAAAGTTCTATGTCGAAAACAGACAGACAGGACGAAACAACTGTGCAGTACTTCCAAGTTTCCCAGTGGTTCTCTAACTTATATTATTTTATTCCAAACAATAATAACAGTTGAGAATGAAGTTATCAGCGTTTTTATACATATTGCAACAATTTAGCTGCCTTTATGAATATGCACATGAATAAAATTTAAAATAGTAATAATAATAATAGTAAAAGCATAAATAGTGAAACCACTATAAGCAGAACGTCGCTGGAAACGTGATGAAGTATAGGTAGATAGCATCATAGATAACACATGTAGGTAGTAATAATTATAACCTTTGCTCATACTTCACAGTTTACTTACTGGCGTAAAATGTTTATAAGTTCTTTCCTGACATCCAACTCTTCATACAAAACCCGTGCTAAATATGGTATAGGATGTTTATATTTAGCTGTACGAACGTAAATTCTCACGAAGTTTCTTCTAGTTTTATACGAAGAGAAAGTTTAGAAAAAAAGAGGATGTGCGTCGGTGGCACAGTGGTTAGGACTCTCGCCGACCACACACATGGTCCGATGTTCGATCTCCTGATATGTATGGTCGGCCTGCGAAATACGGGCTACCGATATCACTTGCTGAAAATTCCATACTTGTACCAAAAATACAGTGTGGGGTCCAGCTGTAACCAAAATATAATAATAACCTTAGTCAAATGTTTGCAAGTGCTTGTTGACAACAGTGTCAGTTAGCTGAGTCAGGGGGTACACCACTAACCCAACTTACAATCTTCAGTGTTCTACATAATACGACATAGTCTTTCTTGAGAAGCCCAAGGAAGGATAAGTGGTAGCAATATAGGAGAATATGCGTCGGTGGCATAGGGTTTAGGACGCTCGCCGACCATTCACATGGTCCGGGGTTCCATCATCGGCCACCGACACACTCATTTACCTTGCTAAGCCAGAAATAAAAATACTGGCAAAGAGGAAAGGTTGGGCATGAGGCTAGCTACCTCATCCTGCAAAATTAAAAACACTGCTACAGAAACTTCAAGCCACTAGACTAAAGTCCTATGTTCCACTGGGAACGTGAAGGAAAAAATAATATAATAATACAGGAGAATGGGCAGAATACATGAGTTACTAAATTGCAAGTGAAGAGGTTGAGTAATCCCAACTTTATGTAATAAGTCAGACGGCAGATTTTCTTAGAAATCAACAGGATGTGAGACGATCAACACAGATTTGAAAAGAAATTGATGCCAACATAAGAGATATACGATTTACTCCCTATCAGAGTGCCGTTAATATTATAAGCATCATACGACTGAATCAGTCCACGCAAGTCTTGTTCGCATCTGAAACTGAAATCAACAATATATCATTTAGGTGGATTTAGTTCAAGGCCATCTGTTAACTTCAGACAAGAATCTGTTCATATAAGAACAATGCAAAGCAGAAACTACTTGGGACGATGGAAATGGTTAGACCATTGGCAAATTAGCTATGTTAGGTCATGTAAAAAGAAAGAAAAAGGAATGGAGAGAGTACAGCGCCTTGAGGCCCATTAGTTTCCATTAGCAACGAAGCGGAGCGCTTTTCATCTTAAAACAGTATGTTGTTTTGGACCCGAAAAATAAGAAGACAGCCACCTTGTGACTCAGTATTTGCTGAAATATGCTCGCTTTTTAAAAGAGCCCTAGGAATAGAGTCAAAATCAGCAGTGTAGTCTAAAAGACAGGCTCGAACAAACTTGGCACCTTTATCAAGACTTGAAACAACATTGTGGTACTTCAGTACAACGACAGAATCTAAAATGCTACTCCATTTGTAAGCAGACTGATTTGAGTCATTAAAAGATTTCAAAGCAGGTTGAAGAACACGCAAGGGAAACTTCTCTGTAGTTTTTTCAGATATGGAGACGTGATAGCTATTGGCCTAAATTTCAGGCCTGACCCAGAAGATTTTGGTACAGGCACCACCTTTATTTCTATCCGGACAACAGGTACTGTATCCCTGTGATGCGTTACAGATTTCAATAAGAGGATAGCACAAAAGATCAGTACACTTTTGAAGCAAAATGCTTCGCACACCATCGGGTCCTAGGCTGTATTTTGTTATTATTATTATATTCCCTTGGGTTCTGAGTGGAACATAAAGCTTCAACAACACATCTGCACTTTGTTCTATTTTCTGCTATCCTCTTTAGCTAGGCCAACGATTACACATAATTTCTTATCTCCTCGCACGACCTCCTCTATGGCACTCTTGGATCAGTGCTCAAGAAACCGTTTCACATTTGTGGTCCACTCGAGCTACGGGCTGGCATGCAAAATCATTCGACGGTTTCCTCAGTGTCTGCCTGATTCATTTTCATGTTCTCTTACATAAATGTTGAGCAATCGGCTTTTGGTTGATATGTTACGAGAGATTCTTGTTGTTTATACTTTCTGGTCGGCTATTTATTCTTCACTATGGAATCAGCGAAGGCAGCTGTTGATAAGTCTGTAGCTTGTTGGAAATCATTTTCGTGACACATCAAATGTCTGACTCATATTGAGTAATTGAATAACTTCTCATTTTTGTTGCTACAGAGTGCAGAAAGTTTCCAAACTAGTTTCAAGTTGATGAAGGCGTATCTTACTTTTATGATTCTGGCTAGGTTTGACATCTTCATTCATTCCGACTGCCTGTGGTTGAAACCGTGTTCCCAGGTTGGATAAGTGAAGGAAGTTATCTCTTTCAAATTTCTCCCGTTGACTGCGATTGGTGCTTGCCATTGTTGTTGTTGTCACTGTTGGTCCTAGGCTAAGTGAAGGATTTGCAACATGAAAATACATGCTATTCACTAAAACCAGGCAAATGATCATTTGCATGACTGGGGAAATCAGGTCCAGTCATATTAACTTGTTGCATTATAAAAGATCTAGAACTGTAGGTAATTCCCCAAAATTATTAGCCATAGTATTCATCATTGAACATCGGATGCTGACCCTCACTTTTTAAGTCGACTTGATTAGCTAAGGGCTCACGGTCAAGCAGCCAAGCCATTTGGCGTGTCGTCGTGGTACGTTCGTTCGTTGGTGCACGACCTTTACCTCACGACAAAATAATCTACAATGAGCCTGCCACTGTCTGTGAACTATTCAGTGATTGTTTTGCAAACATTAGTGTCAATGTAGTTGAAGATTGAACGATCAATTCATGGTTGTTTGCTCAAAACCAACTTCCCCAATTTTCGCGGAGGCATCAATACGACAGTCATCGTCTCATCGGTCGCTGTTCAGAAAGAAGTCAGCAGGGAACCGTCAGAAGTAATATTGTGATTTATTATTGTAATATTTGTTCACAGACCTTAGTCATACGTGATTTATATGTTGGTGTAACAATAAAGAATCCTCGAGTCAACAACTGGTGTTTTGGTTTTTTCGTCCGTTATTACTAAGCGTTTCTGAGAAACTTCTAGCGACAGCGTGAGCCCGAGCGTAGCAAGAGCTGGGCATTAACGGTTTACGAGACGTGGCTGACAGTTTCTGACGGTAGAAGCAGATTCTGGCGGATTCAGGTAGCTGGAAACAGTTTGGATAGTCACCGTTCATCTTTCCTGGTGCCGGTCAAGACCTCTTTGAACAAGCAATATCTGGAACTTTTTTGGAATTGGGTCATGTTCAACAATGCCTGGGTCAAAGAAGGGACAGAGCGTCTTGGATGCAAACAGGAAAGTAAGTCATGGTGACTTGTTTGTTAATTGTAACGATGTGTCTGATGTTAAGCATGACATGGTTGATGTTACTGTTTCGCCGTTCAGGGATAATAGGAACATCAAACTCCCTAAATT